GAAGAAGAAGAAGAAGAAGAAGAAGAAGAAGAAGAAGAAGAAGAAGAAGAAGAAGAAGAAGAAGAAGAAGAAGAAGAAGAAGAAGAAGAAGAAGAAGAAGAAGAAGAAGAAAGAACAAGAACAACAACAACAACAACAACAACAACAACAATAGCAACAAAAGGATTCCTGAATGGATGAATGCAACAACGAACGGATAACAACACACATTACCTTTAAAACATCTGCACATTTTTCACATACAATTATATTTCTCACCTGAACAAACCAGTTTTGTTCTTTTCACAGCAACGAACTTTCTTGTTGTTGAAACCTGCACCGAAACAACTCACTCTGTATTTTTATCCGTAGAGCTTTCCTTGCTGGGTTTAACTAACCTCTTGCTTTAGATTCAACTATACAGACAACTTTAGTTTATATAGAAGTTCTACTCTGATGCAATTAGCCCTAGCTGTTGGCGGATATGATTTCTGGGGCATACTTTGGTCGCTATTCACCGATTGTAAATAGCCGTCAGTAGCGATAAGAGGGGTTACATACCAAACACAAGAGTTTGTGACTTATGTAATTTTTCATACGATTGCTCTGATGTGGGTTTTGTATGTAACAACCAAATTTAGAGTAATCCGTTTCTAACTATTTATCACCAGCATCGTCATCCTTATCGTTATCATCATCATCATTCTCACCTAGCCGTCTCAAGAACAACCAAAAAAAAAAAAAAAAAAAGGAAAGAAAAACAGCTAACAGAACCACTCCCCCCCCCCTTTTTTTTCCCACCGACCTAGCCCTAACCACCAACCACCACCACAACCTCTGCTGTCACCCCTAACACCACCACCTCTGCTGTCACCCCTAACACCACCACCTCTGCTGTCACCCCTAACACCACCACCACTGCTGTCACCCCTAACACCACCACCTCTGCTGTCACCCCTAACACCACCACCTCTGCTGTCACCCCCAACACCACCACCTCTGCTGTCACCCCTAACACCACCACCTCTGCTGTCACCCCTAACACCACCACCACACTGCTGTCACCCCTAACACCACCACCTCTGCTGTCACCCCTAACACCACCACCTCTGATGTCACCCCCAACACCACCACCTCTGCTGTCACCCCTAACACCACCACCTCTGCTGTCACACCCCAACACCACCACCTCTGCTGTCACCCCTAACACCACCACCTCTGCTGTCACCCCTAACACCACCACCTCTGCTGTCACCCCCAACACCACCACCTCTGCTGTCACCCCCAACACCACCACCTCTGCTGTCACCCCAACACCACCACCTCTGCTGTCACCCCAACACCACCACCTCTGCTGTCACCCCCAACACCACCACCTCTGCTGTCACCCTAACACCACCACCTCTGCTGTCACCCCCAACACCACCACCTCTGCTGTCACCCAAACACCACCACCTCTGCTGTCACGCCTAACTCCACCACCTCTGCTGTCACCCCTAACTCCACCACCTCTGCTGTCACCCCCAACACCACCACCTCTTCTGTCACCCCTAACTCCACCACCTCTGCTGTCACAGCAACACCACCACCTCTTCTGTAACCCCCAACACCACCACCTCTGCTGTCACCCCAACACCACCACCTCTTCTGTCACCCCTAACTCCACCACCTCTGCTGTCACAGCAACACCACCACCTCTGCTGTCACCCCTAACTCCACCACCTCTGCTGTCACCCCAACACCACCACCTCTGCTGTCACCCCAACACCACCACCTATTCTGTCACCCCAACACCACCACCTCTGCTGTCACCCCCAACACCACCACCTCTGCTGTCACCCCAACACCACCACCTCTGCTGTCACCCCAACACCACCACCTCTTCTGTCACCCCAACACCACCACCTCTGCTGTCACCCCAACACCACCACCTCTGCTGTCACCCTAACACCACCACCTCTGCTGTCACCCCCAACACCACCACCTCTGCTGTCACCCCCAACACCACCAATGTCAATCACTGCCTTTATTATACCACTTTTTCGGTGTAGGTGGGGGGGGAGGGGGGGGGGGGGGGGGGAGGGGTTGGGGGGGGTGGGGGTAATTGAGTCTGAGGATTTAGGGCTGCATGGCTAGAGCTGTCGCCATGATTGTGCAGGTGAGGATTTTATTTTGCCCCCGACAGAAAAAAAAGAAGTCCTTAGCCTTTACCGAGGATTCGAACCCGGACCTCCCGCTTGAGAGCCCAGCGTGCTAACCGTTCGGCCAGCCGCTCCAAACCACCTTCACCACTAAAACATAGGGACTATACACATTAAGTTGTTTGTAATATTTAGTAATATTCTTCTTCTTCGCGTTCACCAGTTGTAAACTCAGGTGGAAAGCTATGGTTGTTCGTCCACTTCTGGACTGCAATTCTGTTTTAGAACAGATCTTACACATTTGTGTGCAGACTGTTGGTTTCTTGTCTCTCAGGCAGATGCATTCCGACTTCAAAGGAAGCTCCCATAGGAAACGAATGTTCAAAAGGAGAGCGTCTATTTATTAGAAATGGTTAGGGGTGGAAGAAAAGGCACTCAACCCATACTGCCTTCTTGCACAATTTCTAGAGTGAGGGGGTTGAATGTCGCTCCACAGCCCCATAAAACGGGGCGCCTCGAGGTTTCGGCGCCCCTAAATATGAGTCAGCCAGCAAACTACAGCGATCAGAACAAGAACATTTCCCGATAGCAAAAAATAGACCACGGAACCCCTTACCGCTGAAATGCCTGACGAGGTCAACAGACATTGTTGCATCAGTTGCTCAAGTATATAAAGTCTT